CCTTGTCACTTTAGAAATGTATTAAAGTTGTCTGCAGTGGATCTTTTTAGATGTTCCATGTGTATTTCCAAACACCATTTCAGAATTGGACTGCTGTTAGAAAGTTTGGTAATGCATGGCTCTACCTGGAAACCTCGTCTGACTGGTTCTTCTAGAGGCTGCCATGATACTGTGCAAGTATCTCCCACCCATCCTTTGATAGTATTTTGAGAGTATTTTGACAGGACTGCATATAGAAACTGGCAAAATGACAGTTAGAAAGGTTCCATTGTCACAGTCTCATTCTTGACATCACCTCCATTGAAATCTGACAACTTCTTGGTTCTGTTACTATTTTACATTTTTGGAACTTACTTATGGACTAGACATCAAAGGAACAAAATTTGCATGTAACCAAGTTGATGTAAGTTGCCTTTCAGTGCTTGCTTCACTGAAACATCCTTGTTGTAGTAGTAACTGAGTGATATGTGTGAGTATACAAACCCCATGGTGTCTATAGTGGATGAGCCTGCCTGGGAATTTGACTGTCTAAAGGGATCACTTTAATTATGAAAATTATGTAAACAAATCCCAATTTTGAAAACTTTGTGTGACACTCCTGGAGAAGTGTTGCTAGAATTGACTGAAAACAAAACCTTCAGCCACCTTAGTGCTAATCTCTCATCCAAGGTGACAAACTGTAACCTCTGACTTCTACCTTCATTTGCTTCAGAGTCCTAGATATCTGCTCAAATGGCCTTGTGAGATTGTAGATGGTAGTGAGGGTTGAGCAATCTACTCCTTTTCTGACTGCAGGTGAGCACTGTCAGAAAGATTTTGCAGGTTCTCCTGCTCCCTCAGTGGTTTTCTCAGGGACTTTATTTGCATAGTCCCCAAAGGACAGCCTTCTCAGAAATTGCTATTTTTCTGAATCACTAACAGTCAGTTCTGCCAGCTGACAGGACAATGGATCTTTAGATCTTTCAAGTTATGTATGCACCCCAAGCTGGTGGCTCGATATTCAGAGGGAACTGAATCCTGATTGGATGGGGGAAAGACCAAACATAGTGAAGAATATTTTCTCTTCAAGGTAGTTGGTCAGATCAGCCTACACTGGGGAACCAAAAGAGTGAGATGCTTGAGTGGTTAGTAGTGTTTTTCATAGTGAGGGCTCTTTAGTAGGCTTCTATCGGTCATTAGAGTGGAGTGCTCTTACTAATATTGGGATGTAAGGCCTCCCCGAAAGGGAAGATCCTCACTCAAGTCTCGGGATGATGCGACCCCCCAAGAACTCAGGAGAGACTGTCCTTGTTGCAATTGCTCGAGGTTTATTGACAGGAGCCAGCGTGCTGGGGCCGAGACTCGTATCCCATGAAGAGGAAGAGGAGTTTCGACCCCGAAAGGCTGGGAATAGGGGTTTTTAAAGGAAGAAACCACAACACAAAATACAAAGAATACCAGTGAGGAAAGAAACCCCAACCCAAAATACCAAGAATACCAGTGAAGGGTCCCGAGGGAAATCACAAGGGGAAACTCCCTATTCCTTAAGATTGTTTGTAAGATTCTAATCTTTTTATGGTTAGCCTTTTCCTGGAACAGAATTGCTGAACCAGCTAGCCACCCTATATCCTAGGCCTTATTTTGTCTGAGGGGGTCTTCTTTATTCTGGCCTTTCAGGGACAGCATTGTGTAGATATTTCTCTGCTCTGTCAGGCAAGTGTCTGGCTTTGGGCAGTATGAGCTTTCTGAGTATGTAAGGCACCCTCACAGCCACAGTGTAGGTTGCAGCATATAGGGTCTCACCCTTACTATCTATGTGCTTGAGTCAGCTGCTAGATCTTGTTTTTAACATAATTCCTCATGATAGTTAACCATTTAGTTATCATGCTGGAAATTTGACATTTGAGGATGACACTGCTGCTGGTCAGTTTCTAGGAGTGTTCTGTGGATGGTGTGCATTTGTGCCCTATCATGGACTGGGTTGGAATGTGAGATTATTTCTTTTGTAGTTCAACAAGTTCCAGTTGTGCCAGAGGTCTGTGTTTTTCATAGGATATGAGATGCTTCATAAGATGTTAGATCTGGGAGCACCTTTATAGCTAGAGAAACAATCTCCTTGTGAATTGAATTTAAATGTGTCCTTGAGATAAGCTTCCCATTTGCTGATGGGGATGTCCTTCTGTTTGGTATGAATCTTTTTCTTATTGGTTGAATAAAGCTGTTTCAGATAATGGACAGGCCGGAAGTATAGGTGGGGCTGCCAGACTAAGACAATTCTGGGAAGAGGAAGACAGAGTGAGTCGTGAGGGAGATGCCATGTAGCTACCGGGAAGATAGGATGCCCCGGGCATTCTCCAGTAAGCCAAGACCATGTGTACATACACAGATTAATAGAAATGGGCTAATAATTGAGAGCTAGCCAATAAAGAAGCCTTAGCCATCACCAAACAACAGTTTATAAGCCTCTGAGTGTTTATTTGGGACTAATGTCTATGGAACCAGGCAGACAAACTTCCCACAATTTGCAAGTCTGCCTTGTGATCCTGATATGTATGCAGAATAAGATGACAAATGGCATCTTGGAGGAACTGAGGTGACATTTGTTTTGTTAAAACTTTATTGTGAAAAGCTTGCAAATAAAATAAGCCTTAAAGTTAACAAGACCCAAAGTCTATAAACCTCAGTGAACTTCTAGGCAGTTAGAACAGCCATTCTGGAAAAAAAACAAAACAAAACAAAACAAAAAAAACCACCCTCCTGGTGCTCATTGCTTCAAGGTCTCAGAGATGAGAAGGTGGTGAGGTCATCACCAGAGGAGATGTGTCTGACATGATCTTGCTATCTGGTCTCTGCCTCTGTGTGTGCCTATGCATTCAAGGGTATTTCCACTTTGTCTTCTATGAGGTTCAGTGTAGATAAATGTATACTGAGGTCTTTGGCCCATTGAGTTTTGGTACTTGAGTTTTATGCATGGTGATATATATCTGTTTGCATTCTTCTACATGTCGATAGCCATTTATACTGGCACCATTTGTTGAATATGCTTTTTACCATTCTATATTTTTAGCTTTGTCAAAAATTGTGTTCATAGGTTGTGTAGATTTGATATCAGGGTCTTCTATTCTACTCCATTGGTCCACCTGTTTTTATGCCAAATACCAAGCTGTTTTTTCATTACTATAGCTCTATATAGTAGAGCTTGAAGTCAGGGATGGTGATGCCCCCAGATAATCTTATTGTACAGGTTTGTCTGTCTATCCTGGGTTTGTTTTTCCATATGAACATCTGATAGAATTCTACACTGAAACAAAATGGGCCTGGGCTTTTGGTTGGGAAACTATTGATAACTGTTTCTTTCCTTAGGGTTTATAGGTCTTTTTAAGTTTATCTGTTCATTTAGTTTTGTCTAACCTTGTCTACATGTCTCTTCCTCTAATTAGTATAGGTGGAGCTTGTGCTTGCCGGGGAGGAGGGGGAGAACATGAGGTATCAGGAAGATTGAGTGGGGAGAGGAATAGAGGAAAGCAAGACAAAAAACCCACATTAATAGAGGGAACCACTATAGGTTTAAAGAGAAATTTGGCACTAGGGAATTGTACGGAGATCCACAAGGATGACCCCAACTAGGAACCTAAGCAATAATGGAGAAGGCTACCTTAAGTAGCCTTACTCTTCCCCTATGAGATTGATGACTACCTTAAATGCTATCCTAGAGCCTTCATCCAGTAGCTAATGGAAGTAGCAGAGATCCACAGCCAAGCACTGAGCCAAACTCTCTGGAATCCAGTTGTAGAGAGGGAGGAGTGACAAAAAGGGGTCAAGATACATTGGGAAAACCCACAGAACAGTTGACCTGAGCAAGTGGAAACTCAGGGACTCCAGTCTGACAGCTGGGGAACCAACATAGGAGCAAACCAGGCCCCCCTGAATGTGAGTGTCATCCAGAAGCACTGGGCAGTCTATGGGTCCTCTGGCAGTGGAACCAGGATGTATCCCTAGTGCACGAATGGACTTCAGGAGCCCATTTCCCATGGAGGGATACTCTTAGCCTAGATACACAGGGGAGGGCCTAGGCCCTGCCCCAAATGACTTGACAGATTTTGATCCCTAATGGAAGGCCTTACTCTCCCTGGGGAGTGGATGGGAGATGGAATGGGGGGGAGGTCAGAGGGGGAACATGGGAGGATGGGAAGGAGAGGGAACTGGAATTGATATGTAAAATTGAAAAAATATCAGAAAATGAAAAGATACACTATGCTCTTGGAAAGGTAGGATCAGCATAGTAAAAGTGGCAATCTTACCAAAAGCAATAGACAGGTTCAATGCATTCTCCATCAAAATATCTGCACAATTCTTTAGACCTTGAAAGAACAATACTCAATTTTATATGGAAAAACAAAACACAGGATAGCCAAAAAAAAAAAAAAAAAAAAAAAAACCCTGTTCAATAAAGGAACTTCTGGGAGAATAACCATTCCTGACATCAAGTTCTACTATACAGCTATAATAATGAAAACAGCTTGGTATTAGCATAAAAACAGAGGTAGACCAATGGAATCAAACTGAAGATCCTGTTATTAATCCACACACCTAGGAACACCTGATTTTTTGACAAAGAAGCTAAGATTATACAATGAAGAAAAAAGCATCTTCTGGTTCTGTTTAACTTCCACCTTCGAAGATTATCCTATTCCGAATGCCTCCCTGCCTCCCGCTTGAAAGCACACACGCAAGGTCCTTCATCTATCCGAGGAACTAGGTCAGAGGAAAGAATACGAATAAGAATGTTTGGGTCTAGGAGCAGGCACTATCACGGACAGCTACACTTCTAGAAGGTTCTAGGCGATGCTCCAAGTCCAGAGACAGAGGGAGTAGGAATGAGCGAGTTCTCAAGGCCTTGGGGGGGGAGCCAGCGGCGGGAGGTTCTAGTCTGTTCTGCCTTGCGTCAGAACAGCCGCCCCCTTCTCCATCACGTTGAGCCGCGCCGGGCCTGGCCTCAGGCTTTCACCGCCCCCCCCCCCATGGATCCCCGCAAAGTGAGCGAGCTTCGGGCTTTCGTGAAGATGTGTAAGCAGGACCCGAACATCCTGTACACCGAGGAAATGCATTTCCTGAGGGAGTGGGTGGAGAGCATGGGGGATAAAGTTACATCACCTGCTACTCATAAAGTTACATCAGAAGACAAGGTCAAGGAAGAAAAGAGATAATAAGACAGAGGAAAACATAAACCATCTTCTGGATGAACCATCAAGTGAGGAGAGTGATGTAGAAATTGACAATGACGGTGTAATTGAGCCAGACACTGGTGCACCTCAAGAAACGGGAGATGAAAATGCAGAGAAAATTGAGGAGATGATGGATCAAGCAAATGAAAAGGGGGCTGCCATTGAAGCCCTAAATGATGGTGACCTGCAGAAAGCCATTGACTTGTTCACTGACGCCATCAAGCTAAACCCTCGATTGGCTATTCTGTATGCCAAGAGAGCCAGTGTCTTCGTCAAATTACAGAAGCCAAATGCTGCCATTCAAGGCTGTGACAGAGCCATTGAAATAAACCCTGATTCAGCTCAGCCATACAAGTGTCGAGGGAAAGCACACAGACTCCTGGGTCACTGGGAAGAAGCAGCTCATGATCTTGCCCTTGCC